AGAAAACATACATTTGTGGCAAGAATGATAGAAGAATTTTCTGGATCGCGCATTTGTGGTATCTGAATAAAACTAAGGACAGAAATGTAGTGGAGCGATGAAGAGAGCGACGAGCAAAACGTACTTTCAACTAAAATGCTGATATACATTGCTAAGTACATATGTATGTACATATGTGCATAGATACGGATGTTCATAGATACATACATATGTGCATAGATACATATGTATATGTATATGTAAGTGTCCGCATATATTTTTTCTTGTCACTTGTTCTGTCGCTTCACTGCAGCAAAACCAAGTTGTGGGGAAAACCCTGACGGTATGCGTACAATTGAAACCATGGGTTTGAAGATAGCGCAAATTGATGTGAAAGTCTCAATTTCATATTAAATATATTTATGTATGCATGTACATATGTACATACATATGTAAAAATGTAGTTTCGATTTAAAAAAATCGGATAAAGATTTCCTTTCGCCATTCATACACCTCTAATTTTAGTATTTATTAAAAAAACTCAATGAAATTCAAAAACTCTTATCTTGCATTTGGCTTTACTCAATACCAATTTGATCTGTCGCAGTGTTATCAAAAAAAAAAAAAAGTTATCAATGGGTAGGTTCAGGAGGCGCAACCGTTGCTAAAAAAAATCAGTGATCGTTATGCGTCTTCTGAACGACTTCATACATTAGCTGTCAAATTCAACTCTCAAAGATACACACCAACATGTTGTCTCAAATGATCAGAAAAATATTACGATCATCTAACACGCAACTATTCAGTTGATCAGAAGTACGCAACAACGCGTTCAGAAGGTGCAATCGCACCAGTTACTGAGCTGTTGCGCCTTCTGAACGTGCCCAATGAAAATTCGTTTCTCTTGAAATCAAGTTATATGGCTGCGTATGTATGTACATATGTACATATTCCGAAATTTTTTTTTTATTTGTAAAGGCTCTCAAGAAAAACTAAAAATTCATATAAAATTACGCACAATAAATAGAAAATAAATTTGCTTCTATAACAAATTTCTTAAATCAGTATGCAGCTCTTAAGAAAAAAATGCTCGTACATCTCGTCGCTACCATGTCCAACTATCGAATGTGAAAATCGGCACTTTTCAAAATTTTGATTTGCCACTAATAATTTTATTTCGTATAGCAGCATTGCTTAAGTTATTGTTGTCGACAACTTATTTGTTCGTTAATGACTGCAAATAGTTTTATAGAAAATTAGAAACGAGAAATAATACTTTCATAAAAATTTAAGTACATACATACATAGATTTAAAAAGCTGCTTGAATACAAAAGTTTTATGAAAATGTCACATTAAACAACTGTCTAAATCTACGTTATTTTTTATAAATAAGGCCGTAAACATTTCCTTACATCGTCAAATTCCATATTCTATTTTTACTCTTTCAATTTCACTGACCAGCGCCGCAAACGATATCAACTAGTAGGCTAACAACCAGAATTGAAATTTTATACGCAAGTACTTACCGTACTACAAGTATACAGAGAGTAGATTTGCTACTCCCTTTTGGCAGCAGCAAATATCTCGCGTACGCGATGAGAGAAAGTAGAGTACGTACTTTGGTGGAGTAATAGCAAGTACGTCAAGTATTTACTCTCTCAACGCCAAGTAGGGTATGTATGCGGAAAAATAGTAACAATGTGTTGGGAGTAGAGTACAATGCAAGTAGTACTTATTGAACGAAATGCGGCAAATACACTTGCGCTGGACTCTAATAGATACATATGTGTATAGATATGTACGTATGTGCATAGATACGTATGTGCGTAGATACATATATAAGTGTCCGCATATATTTTTTTCTCGTCACTTGCTCTGTCGCTTCACTGCAGCAAAACCAAGTTGTAGGGAAAACCCTGACGAAATGCGAACAATTGAAACCATGGGTTTGAAGATTCCGCAAATTGATGTGAAAATTTCAATTTCATATTAAATATATTCATGTATGCATGTACATATGTAAAAATGTAGTTTCGATTTAAAAAAATCGGATAAAGTTTTTCTTTCGCCATTCATACACCTCTAATTTTTGTATTTATTAAAAAAAACTCAATGAAATTCAAAAACTATCTCTTGCATTTGGTTTTACTCAATACCGATTTGAGCTGTCGCACAGTGTTATCAAAAAACAAGTAAGAGCAGCGCTGTCTTCGGCTATGCCGAAGGCTTCATACCTTTCATGAACATCTGCGAATTTTACTTTGACAGATTACTGCTTTTGAATACATCTGCATACATCGATAGAGGAGTTACATACTTATATAAAAAATCGCATCTAAACAATCAGAGGTATGGAAGATATACTTTATATGACACCAATCTAAGTGATTTTCACCGCTATGTGATCGGTATGTAAACCGGTAACTCAATTTATTGGGTTTAGTTTCGTACATAAAGGAGATATATGGCAAAAACTGGTATCTTAACAATCAGTGCTATAGGAGATAAAGCTTATACAGCATAGATTTTGACGATTTTCTCAGTAGACTTTGTATTATTATTTATAAAATATTTTACGAAATTTATCGGTTTTAGCTGTTCAACTAAAGGAGTTTTACAGTAAAATCCCATATCTGAACAATCAGATATATGGAAGATATATGTTGTAGTCATCCGATCCTTGTTATTTTCACTGTAGGTATTCTGTTAATAATGAGTGAAAATGGTGCGAAATTTCATGTTCCTAGCTGCATAAATGGAGGAGTTATGATAAAAGACCTCATATCTGAACAATCAGTTGTATGGGAGCTATAGGTTATAGTGACCCGATCTTTGTAATTTTCACTGTAAGTATTCTGTTGATAATGGGTGCAAGTATTGCAAAATTTCATGTTCGTAGCTGCATAAATGGAGAAGTTATAATGAAAAATCTCATATCTGAACAATCAGTTGTATGGGAGCTATATGTTATAGTGGTCCGATTCTTCCGGTTCCGACAAATGATTAATACATTATAAAAATACACACACCTACCAAATTTGATCCGGATATCTCTAAAACTGAGAGACTAGATTGCATACAAACAGACAGACAGACGGACAGACGGACATGGCTAAATCAACTCAGCTCGACGTTCTGATCATATAAGTATACATTTTCATGGGTCTATCTCTTTTTGTTCTGGTACTTACAAACATCGGACCAAAGTTATAATACCATTTCATGCTCATGAAAGGTATAAAAAGCTAGCAATGGGTAGGTTCAGAAGGCGGAGCAGTTGAGCGCAACCGTTGCTAAAAAAAAAAATCAGTGATCGTTATGCGTCTTCTGAACGACTTCATACATTAGATCAATCGTCGGCTAGCCATAGTACAATTGTACAAGCTCTCATCACACGCATTTGTTACGCTCTTTCGTTTAGTCGTCGCTGAGTAGTGATGTGCTGAGTCGATACTTTTAAGTATTGATCGATACTCGGTACCGATTTGAAAAGTATCCAATACTTTCGATACTCGGTACCGAAATGTTTAGATTTCTTATAAGACCACACAACAGCCAAATATATAAAATAAAAGTAGTTCAGGGGAGCCCCACGTATCAAAATACGAATGTATTGCCTATATAGCTTTTAAAATTGTTAAAATCATAAATGCATAGACATTTTCAAGAAAAGGGGCTTTTCTAAAACTTCTTCCAGACATCTCCTTAAACCTTACTTGCACTTGTTCCAAGAATATAACAAGCCGAATTTAAATAAAAAATGAAGTACATTTACTATATATTTTATGTATGTGCACATATACGTATATTCAAGAAATGTTTTTATACATACATTTATTTTTAAATATATACATTTTTGTGTCCTGTGTTAAGATAATCATATTTAAGTACACTTTTCCGTTCGTATTTACAACAAACTAATAATACAAAGGTTTTTTTTAAATAATATCAAATAACAATCAGGCACACATGGAGATCGTTTAAGTTTCTATGAATGTTTAAAACGTTAAAACAAAGACTTAGTTTTTGTTTAAAAAAATTAATTTTTCCACATTATTAGGATCTAAACGATTTCTTCGCTCGGTTAATATTTGCCCCGCTTTTGAAAATATACGCTCGCTTGGAACTGACGTCGCCACAATGCAAAGGAACTCTTTTGCCATCTCTGCCAATCTGGGGTAGAAATCTTTTTTTTCATTCCACCATTTTAGTGGATCTGATTTGAGATCTAAAAGCTTTTCATTTAAATATTGGTCAATTTCAATAATAGCTTTAGAATAACTATTAGTGTTTCCTTGAACACGGCGATCAAAGTCAGTCCATAAGGGGCCGCTGTTTAAATTTACTCGGATATCACTAATGGTGGCCTCATTGTTTGAAACATTCTTGTTCTCGATTAATCGGATGAGGCTGTCTTTACAGGTCTGAAAAGCTTCTTTGTCCGTAAAAGCATTTTTCTTGAACCTTGGATCTACGATGGCTGAAACTGATAAAATTATATTATGCTCAAAGCGAAGAAACCGTTTACCTATGTTGGATATTAATTTTTTCAGCAAATATACGGCCTGTATCTGTTTGTAACAGATTTAACTTGTTGTTTAAAAACGATTGCAACCCTCGAATTAACATAATTACTTTTGACACAGTAACGTACTGTTCAGCGCTCATTTCCATTGTCAAATCTTCAAAAGGCTTTAATAGTTGAGAAATCTCATTCAAAACCTCCCACTCATTTGCCGCTAAAATACATATGGGGTTATGCAGCACACCGATAGTTGCCTCAAGAGGCTCCTGAACTTCAATACACCTTTGAATCATATGGAATGTAGAATTCCATCTGGTTTGTACTTCCATTTTTAGTTTTAATTGGGGTTTATTCATTGTGGTCTGTATTTCCTTTAATTTATTTGCAGGCACTATACTTCTATGAAAATATTCTACAATTGAACGACATTTATCTCGCAAGGTATGCTCCGCCACCCGGTAAGTCTAATGGCAGCAATGACATAAGCTGCGTTTTCGGACGCAACTGCGCAAATTTTCTGACTGATATTCCAATCAGTTACTGAATCTATTAAAACATTTCGCAAATTAATGGCAGTGTGGCGTTCATTCATTCTAAAACAATTTAAAACCAAACTTTTTTTGCTGCCAAATGTTGGATATAAAATGAGCTGTAAGCGATACAAAACTTTCACTTGTTAAAGATGTCCATGCATCTGTGGTGAGGCATACGAAATTGGCTTCTGACAAAATTTGCTTCACCTCATTTACGCGCTCTTCATAAACTTGTGGCAACAGTTTCTTCGTTAAAAATGTGCGAGATGGAATATGATAAGAGGGATTCAGCTCACTGATGAAGTTTTTAAAGCCAACGTCCTCGACAATGGAGAACGGTTGAAAGTCTTTCACTATCATTTGCAGTAGCTTCTTATTTAACTCTCCGTCAGACACATGTTTCGATTAGCACATTCGGTACGCACGAGTCTGGCTGGACCCATATGCAAATTGTATACAGAAGTAGAAATTATGTGCAACATTTGTTCAGTTTAACTTATTTATTGTATTTTATTCAAATATTTACTTAATTTAAGGGCTTTCTTTTTATACCCGAGCGCACTTGTGCACAAGGGTATATTAATTTTGTTCACATAACGGTTGTTTGTAACAGCCAAAACGAATCGAGATAGATATAGACAAATGTAAACATAAATGCTCAGAATGAATAGAGAAGTCGATTAAGCCATGTTTGTCTCTCCGTCTGTCCGTCCGTCCGTGTACACGATAACTCGAGCAAAAATTGATATATCTCAACGAAATTTGGTATGTAGGTTTCCGTTAATCCAATTTGGTATTGGTATTGAAAATGGGCGAAATCGGACAGTAACCACGCCCACTTCCCATATAACGGTAATTTCCAGAAATACGAAAACTGCGATATTTTAGTAACTACTGAAGATAATTCACTCAAAATTGATATTTACAATAACTTTCAGACGAAAAATAAGAATAGTATAAATTTTTGGAAAATGGGCGTAGCCACGCCCACTTATGGTGGGCTACATGTGTATATCTTGGTAACCGCTGCACCAATTTATTCCAAACTTTGCACAGTTGTTGACCTTGATACAGCATACTAAATGACCCAAAATTTGAAAAATCGGACAATAACCACGCCCACATCCCATATAACGGTAATTTATAGAAATACAAAATCTTCGATAAATCAGAAATACGAAAACTGCGATATTTTAGTAACTACTGGAGATAATTCACTCAAAATTGATATTTGCAATAAATTTCAGACGAAAAATAAGAATATTATAAATTTTTAGAAAATGGGCGTAGCCACGCCCACTTATGGTTACATGTGCATATCTTGGTCACCGCAGCACCAATTTCTTCCAAACTTGGCACAGTTGTTGGCCTTGGTACAGCATACTAAATGGCCGAAAATTTAAAAAATCGGACAATAACCACGCCCACATCCCATATAACGGTAATTTATAGAAATACAAAATCTTCGATAAATCAGAAAATACTAAAGCTAATTTATTCAAAATTGATGCTTGCAACAATTCTTAACCAAGAAATACGTTTATGGTAAAATTTTGGAAGACGGGCGTGGCACCGCCCACTTATGATCACATATATGTATCTCGGTAACCGTTCTACCAATTTGTACCAAACTCGGTATGGTTAATGTGCTTGCCACATAAAAGCAAAACGTTAAATTGAAATCGGACTAAAATTACGGTCGCTTTTCATATAACGGTAAATTTCAGAAATGCTTGAAACTTCAATATTTCGAAATTTAAGGACGCTAATTTACTCAAAATTGATACACCCCGTCTTACCATCTAGCGGTAGCTTTCGGGAAGGTGAAAAAGCATATATTTAATACTTGCGCCGGATATTTTATGTTCGGCTCCGCCCGAACTTAGACTTTTTTACTTGCTTTATTTAATTATTTAAATACACTGGCGATCAAAACCAACTTTTTTAATAATAAGCGGATCGCTTTGAACTTTTCAGCAATTTGTCTTTATTATTTAAGATATAAAGCCTAGTATACAGAAAAATTAACAAGTTCTTCCCAGCAAAAACGCAAGGCAACTCTCTTCACTCAGTTTTGAGCTTTTCTCTTTTGAGATTTTAGGAGGTATATATCAAGAGGATTGTGGATACTCCTTTGCTTTTAATAGCGATTTTCATACGTCTGGGTATGCTCTCTACTAGGTTTTCTATGATTTCGCTTGGAATATTACCCCATTATAATTTTACTCGCCTCCAAAGCCCTTATATGTTACTGGAGCTCGCTTGTGCTATGCTAATCCTCTCTTGACCACAGCGCTCAATTTTTCGATAGCTTTGAAGTCTGGGATTTGTGCTGGCCACCATGTTAGACGTTTTTCTTGGCATGGTGTTTTTGAAGATGTTGATGAGGTATTTCCCAAAAATATGCCTTTTTATCGCTTTGGAAACAATTAAATTTCGTTCCATCGGACCATATTATACCTTTTGAGTCCAAAAACTTCAAGTATCGTGACTTTTACAAAATTTCAGTGGCAGCTTAATGGCTTGGGATATTTTACTTGCTGGCATTTGGTGCCATGGGTTAATATAAAATGTATAATGAACATATCCTCCAAACAAATTTGCCGGACTTTGTAGACAAAAGCGCAAACCCTGCGGAAGAAGTGGTTTGCCAGCAGGACGGAGATCCCAAGGATTCTAAAAATATTCGACACCGCCGGCTGCTTGAGCAAAATTTTCACGTAATGCAGTGGGCAACACAAACCGCAGACCTCAACGCCATCGAAAAATTGAGCGCTGTGGTCAAGAGAGGATTAGCATAGCACAAGCGAGCTCCGAGTAACATGGAAGAGCTTTGGAGGCGAGTAAAATTATAATGGGGTAATATTCCATTGCATTCCTTCATTTTAGGTAAAAATCATCTCTTGCCATGATAATTCAAAAATTTAAAAGAAAACTTTGAAAAACGGTTGCATCCCTTCATTTTAGGTAAAAATTACATCGGAATATATGTGGGTCCAGCCAGACCTATGTGTTACGAATGTTATGTATTAATCAACATGTCTATATATCTAGCTTTATATATATGATACCGACATGATTTTTTATAGATTGGTAGTTCACTAAACTTTAGTAAGCTACCTGAAATTTCAAGCCTCTAGCTATATTTAAAGTAGCATTTTTTGTAATTTGAAAATGGAAAAGGCCTGGCTGGGCTCTTGTGTTAGACGAAGGGTTAAAGCTGTTACCATTTCTTTTGATAATTTTGGTTGCGTGTAGTTGCTGAGCCTCGTTTGTTTTGTAGCTGATGACGTACTATGTTCAGGGGCCATTGTGGCATGTTCTATGTACAATGTTAAATTTGAAATACATAAATACATATATGGAAACGTTACAATGCAATAAAACACTTACCATCGTTTCTTACCGATGTTGTTTGCGATAACTCAATTGATGGATGCTTAACAAGGAGATGCTTTCGTAAATTGGATGTACCTCCACCTAATTATTGTAATATATTTATTGTAAATAATTTTAGTTATTAAATAATGAGCAAATATATAGGCATACCTTTGTAAGACAGAGTAGTTTTACAAAAATCGCATTTTGCCCTTACTGCATTCACCGCTGTAAAGTGCTGCCATAATCCGCCCGTTTACCTTCGTTTTCTGCAATTAAATATTTGTAGCATGTAATTTCTAAGCTAATATTGTAAAAATACTTACTCAAACGCGACGCCATTTCGAACGTTAATGTATAATATTCACACGTAGATTTTCTTTGAAAAGAGAGTTACCACAGCTATTGCGAATTTGAAAAAGTCTAACAACGTTGCCGCAAGAACTATAGCGGTTGGTAGGACTGTTGCGATAAGTACAAGAAAGGGATGAGTGTTTGTGATGGCAGTATTGTCGAGATGCGGTTGCCGTACATATTATGCTTGTTAATATTTTACGAAAACATCGTCTGATTTGTACATTTAGGGTCTTTTAGGCAATATCATATAAAATAGCTATGAAGTAAATTCTTTTCAAAATTTAAATAATAAATTATAGCGAAGGTTTCATGTATCGAATCGGTATCGGGTACCGAAAAGGAAGTATTGGGTACCGAAATTTTTTGGGTACCGAGTATTGGGTACCGACAATTCAGCACATCACTCTCGCTGAGCAAGCAACGAATCAACATCGTGTTTGGCTGTTGCGCTTTGTTTCTTGAATGCAAAAATGCCTTGCGAGAAATATTATATGCTTGAAAATGCTTATTATTATTATTATTTATTGAAAAAAAGTTAATTTTTTTTGAAGGAATTAAAGGGTGGATGTTAAAGGGAATATGTATGCGATTAAAAGACATTTTTAATCATTTCATAATGATATGGAAAATTTTGATGAACATGAATTTCAATTTTTTTATTTAAATTTTCAATATTTGGTGTTGATGAATCCAAATGAATTTTTAAATTTTTTATTTGAGTTTTACTTCAATATTTTCATAACTCAAAAAACTATAAACTCGAGAAAAACAGTTTTAAAGTGTTGAATTTACATATACTCCCGAGGGAAAAATTAATACATATTCAGCTTTGTCATGAGTTTCATTTTCTCCAAGCCGGTTCACTTTTCACTTTTTGTTTCCGTGAATTTACTATGCGCGGATGAACATTTTTCGGGTGAATTTTTTTTCGGGCGAAAGTCAGGATAAGGTTGATTTTGTTCTAGTGAGCTACTAGTAATCCATAAAATTTTTACACATCATAAGAAAGAGCTAATGTACATTCTTGCATACTTAACCCGATTTTTGCTTTATTGGGATTATGATACTTTTATAGTAAATGAGCGATGCACATATGTATATGTACATATGTATGTGTTAAATATACGTATTTATGTGTTTTTATTGAAGACCGATAAGTTCTCTTGTGCTTACCAACACAAACACAGTTTAATTTTTGCCGGCCACTGCATTAGATGTCAAATTCAACTCTCAAAGGTACACACCAACATGTTGTCTCAAATGATCAGAAAAATATTACGATCATCTAACACGCAACTATTCAGTTGATCAGAAGTACGCAACAACGCGTTCAGAAGGTGCAATCGCACCAGTTACTGAGCTGTTGCGCCTTCTGAACGTGCCCAATGAAAATTCGTTTCTCTTGAAATCAAGTTATATGGCTGCGTATGTATGTACATATGTACATATTTCGAAATTTTTTTTATTTGTAAAGGCTCTCAAGAAAAACTAAAAATTCATATAAAATTACGCACAATAAATGGAAAATAAATTTACTTCTATAAAAAATTTATTAAATCAGTATGCAGCTCTTAAGAAAAAAATGCTCGTACATCTCGTCGCCACCATGTCCAACTATCGAATGTGAAAATCGGCACTTTTCAAAATTTTGATTTGCCACTAATAATTGTATTTCGTATAGCAGCATTGCTTAAGTTGTTGTTTTTGACAACTTATTTGCTGGTTAATGACTGCAAATGGTTTTATAGAAAATTAGAAACGAGAAATAATACTTTCATAAAAATATAAGTACATACATAGATATAAAAAGCTGCTTGAATACAAAAGTTTTATGAAAATGTCACATTAAACAACTGTCTAAATCTACGTTATTTTTTATAAATAAGGCCGTAAACATTTCCTTACATCGTCAAATTCCATATTCTATTTTTACTCTTTCAATTTCACTGACCAGCGCTGCAGCGCCGCAAACGATATCAACAGATATCAACTAGTAGGCTAACAACCAGAATTGAAATTTAATACGCAAGTACTTACACTCTAAAAAAAAATTGTGTAGATTTCCTACCTAAAAAGTAGGTTACTACCTTATTATTCGCGAAATTACATGCTCGATTATTCAACGAATAGTTTGTTTACATTTCGGACTTTTTAGAGTGTAACATAGCTGCTGTGGTGTGCGTAAATTTACTAAGAAAGTGTATACAAGCTACGAAATACACATCTGCTGTTTGATTTCACCCTTAGAATTGTGTAAAGCCACTAGCAGAAAGGATTTTTACACACGAAAATGTGTAAACGAGAAAAATACATATTCATCGTGTAAATTTACCAAAAAATTTAAAAAATAAACAAAAATATACTCGATTTATAGTCGCATTTTTAAACATATTTTTTAGAGTGTACAGTACTACAAGTATACAGAGAGTAGATTTGCTACTCCCTTTTGGCAGCAGCAAATATCTCTCGTACGCGATGAGAGAAAGTAGAGTACCTACTTTGGTGGAGTAATAGCAAGCAGGGATGCCGTTTGGATCTAAATAGATCCAATTGGATACATTTTTAGACGAATTTTTGCGGGATACTTATTTTTTCCGATCAGTATAAATATGGATACTTTTTTAAATAGACCAAAATTTTGTATATTCTATAAAGTTTTTTTCGTTCAAAAATCTATTTTCATTATAGATGATAGAAAGCATTACGTTTTTTAAATGTATTAAAAATCGCTACTTAAGCGTGAAATCAAAGCATTTTAATTTTTGTGAACGAAGCAATGAACATATGAAGAGATCTCACCAAAATAGGTATAAGCGCAATTGTTTTAATTAGCTCAAAAGGATGCTGTAAGCAAGATCTTAATATACATATATATAAAATAAATTATACTGTTTCTGTAGTAATCTCTTTCATATCACATATTTTCATTTGTTAATTTAAAAAGAAAGAAGATTTTAATGTAGTTTAAAATACACTTAAAAAAACTGAATTTGATTTATTTAAGGAAATTTGTATGAATTTTACTGAAAAGACTTTAAATACACTCTAAAAAAATTTTGTTTATTTGCGCATATTAAGAGGGGTAACCATATTCCTCTTATAATGTGTACAAATTTGCACGCAGTGTAATAAAATTAAATATTGCCTGTTTACTTTTACATATCAAATTTGTCGCAAAGATCAAAATTACACAGAAAATGTTGTAAATATAGTAATGTTTATTATTAGTAGGAAAGGTATTTTTACTTTGAAAATTTTTTCCAATTTTAAGCATTCTATAAAGACCTATATTTATACTGATTCTTGTTGAAAAATATATACTTTTCAGTAGTAGTTTTACATGCTTTTTTAGAGTGTACTTGCTATTTATTATACTTACTTTGCAAAATACTTATGCACAAAAAATGTACTTTATAAATTTAAATTACAAATGTTTGATTTTATGAAAAATAAAAATATATATACATGTATTCCAATTCCTTAGGATGGGTTAAATGATGTCTTCTTCTTGAAAATTTTTGGTTTTCTTACAAATTATGAGATGTATACGTAAACAAAGAAAATTGGATACAATTGGATACATTTTTGGCTTGGTCAGTGATACATTTTCTTGAGACGGCGCGGCAACACTGATAGCAAGTACGTCAAGTATTTACTCTCTCATCGCCAAGTAGTGCATGTATGCGGAAAAAGAGTAACAATGTGTTGGGAGTAGAGTAACAATGTGTTGGGAGTAGAGTACAATGCAAGGAGTACTTATTGAACGAAATGCGGCAAACACATTTGCGCTGGACCTTAATATATATACACATTAAGATTAAGGATTCTTTCTCAAATTAATTACTGCAAATCAGGATTACTAAATTGGCGAAAGTATAAATTTTATGCGATACTTCACATCTGTTTGGCGCACTGCGGTTGTAGTTATTGGACGTTATTTTTGCGATATGCCTTTGCACTAATGCATTTGAGAACATACCCACACTTTAATCATTACCTCTCATCTGATGAAATAGCAGGTAACATCTTTGATGGTACTGCATCTGGATCGAGGCGTCTTCTCTTGGCATTAATACTTGCATAAATGATATCATTCGATTTGAAGTGCAGAGCGCAAACTTTCCAGTTAGTTTAACACCACACGCATTCATCCAATCCCTTCCTTCCGTAACATCTGTTGGCACACGAAACATACCTACATCATTGTTGTGAGTGCTTCTGCATAAACACAAGTATCTGGCTTTTTAAACGAATTTTTTTTCTTTTTGTTCTCTAATTTCTAAAACGATTATTTTTTGATTTGAAATTAAGATTTTTATATTTTGAAACTAATTTATAATCAGAGTTGGGCAAAATTTATTCGAATGACGAATAACAAATGAATAAATTGTTTTTCTTGTTATTCGTAAATAATAAGTAATTTTGTTTATTCAAAAAAAAATTATTCGAATGACGGATAAATTATGTTATTCGTTATTCGAATAATTATTATCTTCATAAATTATTCGAATAACGAATAAAATAATAATAAAACAAGTAATTTATGTATATAGATATGTACATATATTTATGTATAAAATGATAACCGTTTTCTTTGTTGTGATTTAACTCAAACCCCTAGATAGATTTAAATCAAATTTTCGGAGGTTATTCCATGCGCATAAAGTCGTATTAAAGGCTACTAGAAAACTCCTTTGTGGCGATGGAGCCGAGTTATTTATAAAAGCCGTATTTATGAACTGATTTCGTTCAAATTCAAAATGTGTTCTTCCGGCATGATGAAAAATACTTATGCGAAAAATGGACCCGCTAGATGGCGCTACAGTTGAGTTATTTAGAAAATCCCTACTTATTATACAATCAGGTTGCAATTCA